GAGAAACACTCCGTCCCAAGGTCTCCGCCCCCAAGGTCAGCCACCTGGGCGCGGAGGGAGGAATCAAGTCTGTTGTACCAGACACCAGACCTTGAGAATATGCTGATCTGGAATGGCTCTGTGCCTCATTTGAACCATCAAATAGAATCCCTGCTCCTAGCTTGCCCCTTTTTCCCTATATAAGGACCCCTTTCCCTTGGCTCGGCGCGCTTAGCCACACAAAGGCTAAGTCGCCCCGGGTACCCGCGTCTCCAATAAAGCCTCTTGTTTTTTTGCATCCAGTTCGTGGCCTCGCTGATTCCTGGGTGTGTGAGTCTCCCTCTACAAAAGTACCTCTTCGGGGGTCTTTCATGCTCAGAACACAATAGATGATATTACAACTCCATTCACATGGTTCATGTCTAACAAGATCAGCAAATAACAGTTGGAAACCTTTGTTAGCTCCATGAGAATTAGGAGCAACGCTGGACACTTCCCTGCTTGAACCCAAGAAGACAGGGAATCCATGTTCTGTCCTGTCCAGGTGCCATTTAAAAGAAGCTCTTCTTAAGCTCTTCTACAAACTTCTCGTCTTCCAAAGGCTTCCTCTGGCTGCCAGGCTGTAGAAACTTCTTCACTGTGGGGAGGTTGCTGACTCTGGTTCTCAGGGCCTGCAATATAAAGCCTCAAAGTGAGGCCCAAAGCAGCATATCCCAGGAAATCTGGCCCCCCTCCTGAACAACACAAAAAAACTCCCTTTAGCCGCATGTGGGAAGAGCCTCGGGAACAGACAATAGAGGCAAGGCTTGGGAAATAAGACTGAACAGCGCTTTTTTCCCGGTACACCCTGAAGACTTCATCCAGCCTCAGCCATCCCTACCTTCCTTCCTGCTCTTTAACCCTACAGAGTCACCCCTAGTGTAAAGGAAAATGAACAGAAATGTCAGTCAGGTGCCATTACTGAGAAACCCTCAACAGGTGGAACCAAGATGCTGAGGATGAATGATGACAAATTAGACCAGGAAAACCAGAGTCTTAGACTTAAGGGACTTATCACAGTGAGATATGAAGAGGGGGTTTCTGGGTTGGAAGAGTATGTGTCCATGCTGAGCGAAACACAATGTCTGCTAATGGGAGCTGAATCTGAGAGGCAGAAACCAGATGGGAAGAGAGATGCTAAGATAGACTTGGTGCACAACGACAGGCACATCTGTGGTAAGGGGAATCTCAGAGAAATCAGGATCTGAGCCCACAGTGGAAAGGTGGCTCGGGGAGACAGCTGAGTGCTGGCATTTGCTCATTATATGAGGTAAAATTATACTTGTTGAGGTAGTGTTTATGCCAAATTTTCTGGTACAACAGGACTCCCTTTCACATTCCAGAAACAAGGCCTGGAAGATCATTTTCCAGGTGGTGCAGGAGGACTGACGATTGGATATGGCTAGATGCCAGATGCCAGCAGCCCACCAATACTTGAAGACTTGTGCCAGGATTGGAGGGCTGATGGTGAGGGACCCAGCTATTTCACCTGAAGCAGGGGGAAAATGGCCACAATGCTGTCATTCAGCTCCTCGATGTGGTAGAGAAGTTCAACCATGTGAATGTCAGCCCTGCTCAGCCTGTTCCCAACAAGGTAGTCTTGGCCATGGCTCTTCAATACCTGCGGAGTTTAGGAAATTTGATCTGTGAACATAAACAGTCAGGCAGGAACACCAGTATTTCCTTGACCTTTTCAGCCCATTTCTCCTCCTTCTGCAGCCTCCTGAAGGAAGTGCAGAGTCCTGGACCTCTCCCCAGGACCCTGGCATGACGGATGAGGAGACACGAAGTCTGCTATCTCCTCCACTAAAGCCAAGGATCCTTTCATTTTCACCCCCAGATCCACACGCTATTCACACCATCCACCTTTCCCTGCATTTTACACTTGTGCCAAGGGCTAACTTCCTGCCGCAGTTTCTCCCTGTTTATACCTCCCTAAAATTGGCAGTTTCCCCTCTCAGCTCTTTCTATATGTAATGGAAAGTTGCTCAACTTTCATGGCAGGACCAGTCAACCATGAGAGGTCTTTTTTTTTTTTTTTTGTCTATAGTTCTCCTCTTGTCTGTTTGCTCATCTTTTACATGTCTCTGGGACCTAAAGTCAACTTGAGGGACTGAGGCAATAGCTTAGTTGGCCAGGTGACTGGTAACAAAACACAAGAACCTGATGCTGATCTCCTGAATCCACTTTTTAAAATGGGACATGCGGCTGGACCAATGGCTCAGCAGTTAAGGGTATTGGCTGCTCTTTTGGAGGTCCTGGGTTCAATTCCCAGCACCTACATGGTGGCTCACATCTATCTATAACTGTAGTCCCATGGGATCAGAGTCTCTCTTCTGGAGTATGGATATGCATGTAGACAAAAATAAATCCATATCCATATACATAAATAAATAAATGTTTTTTTTAGAAGTGGGACATGATGGTATATATGCTTGTATCTTTGCTTTGCTTTTTTGTTTTTCGAGACAGCGTTTTATGTGTAGCCATGGCTGCCATGGAATTCACTCTATAGACCAGACTGAACTCAAACTCACAGAGATCCACCTGCCCCTGCCTTCTCAGTGCTAGGATTAAAGGTATGTACCATCACCACCCAGCTCAGTCGTGGTACATGCTTGTAACCTCAGCCTTGGGAGATGTAGCAGAGACAGGTAGTTCCTTGAAGCTCCTGGTCAGCCAGCCTAACAGAGTGATAAGCTTCAAGTTCAGTTTTAAAATAAAGGTGGAAAGTGATTGAGGAAAGACAATTGATAGCATCCTTGGGCCTCCACCTGCATGTATATATACACACACACCACGTGCAAACATATCACTCATACTCACATACTCGAACTGAAATAAATAGACAGTTGGAACCATCATCTTGGCAATGCTGGGTTTCATTCTTAACATTGTGGCATAACCAGCATGCTGAATTGTGGAGGGTGAACTGAACTTGTGTATGTAGCTAAGAACGTATTTCATGGGTAGAGTGGGATGGACAGATGGACATATACGATGAAGACAACCCCACAGGATGTCAAATCTCCTACATCCATGGGGAGTATCTATGTGGCCTCTAAAATGTCCCTCAACTTTTCTTATTGGAAGGCAGTTACATGACACCTGGGAAGGACTAATACATGATCTATGAATAAGAGAAGAAACCGAAAACACATGGAGATACCAGTTAAAGATATTTGTCAAACATATTGTAAGAGAATAAATACAAAAAGAAGTATGAATAATTGTTTGGTATAAAAACAATACACAACCTAATCTTTTTACACTTATTGTGCCTGTCTGCCTGCCTGACCTCCCCTCTGCCTGTGTGTGTGTGTGTGTGTGTGTGTGTGTGTGCGCGCGCGTGTGTGTGTGAGTGTGTGTGTGTGTGTGTGTGTGTGTGTGTGTGTGTGTGTGTGTGAGTGTGTTCACCTGCCAAAGCACCTGTGTGGAGGTCAGAGGACAATCCAAGGGGATAGGTTTTCTCCCTCCACCACGTGGATCCCAGGGATCAAACTGAGGTCATCAGGCAGCAAGCACCTTTTCCCACCAAGCCATCTTTTCAGCACATGGAATTTGTGGTGTAATTTACACTATGCATTCACATTAATGCAATACTTTTATTTCATAATGTAGATGACTTAAGTTTGAAGAATGGCTGTGAAGATTATCACTATGTGACATGCCTTACATTGTCAGCACTACAAAAAGCAGGGTAGGGGATCTGATCACACTTTGTCACCTGCTTATGTTGGACCTGGCACACAAGCAACAATTTAACATTTGTTGGATGACTGGATAAATGACCTAATGTTCCACAGGTGGAAGCTAAGCGGGTATTCCTTTATTTATTTACAAGTCTGCACTGTGTGTGACCAGTTTTTGATTCGTGATTTTATTTACCCTGGCTTCAGCTGACTTCCATCTTAAAATATTTATCTCACATACAGAGAGAAAACATATTAAGACAGATATTAGGTAAAATAGCAGGAAAATATCCCTAAACTCTGGCAATTTTTAAAACACCATTTCATTTCTCTCTTCTATGCATCAGTGTATAAACTTCCCATCTCTGAAACACCGCTGTATTCTTCAGATGGGCAATTGGTCTTGGGTCTCCCGGCACTTGGTGCCAGAGGATTGTCTATGTGTTGCTGTCATCACGTTGCTTCTGAGTCAACACTATGGTGCTTTGCGTGATCTATTCCAACTCTAATGTAGTCAACATTACAGCACTATGCATGATCTATTCCTGATGGGGAATGTACTTCTGTGTATGTTCATCTTATTGATTGTTGAATAAAGAACTGCTTGGAAAATGAGGCAGCAAGTTAGACAGGACTAGGAGTCAAAGAGGATTCTGGGAAATGTAGTAAAGAAGTGGTGATCCAGGCAGGAAGTGACATAGCAGGGAGACTCATATTTAAGGAAGGACAAGCAGGAAGTGGCCCTTTTCCCCCTCTTACTTCCTCCAGAGGCACCATGTGATCCACCGGCAAGAGAGGGCACCAGCAGAAGGTATCCTCTATAAGATAAGTCTTATAAAATATATAGATTTATGATAATTAAGACTGAGCTAACAGATGAGAATCTTAGTCATTGACCAAGCAGCATTTGTACATAATAGAAGTCTCTGTGTACTATTTGGGGCCCTAACTCGGTGGGCAGAACTCGGGCAGCTGGCAGAGACTGCCCACGTGGTGGTAGGGCTGGGGGCAGCTTTTGGTGGAAAGATTTATCATAACATATTCCACCCTCTAATGTGGCTCAGACCTTCACACAGTCCAGTTCTAATTATGACCACTTTATACCATACTGGAAATTCTAGATCAATCAATTATTTTTTTGAAAACAGTGAGCTGGCATAACTAGAGCAATGCTTCTGTATAATACCTTCAGAACTGGGGTGCTAGACTAATACTAATAGAAGTCCTTTGGAAAGGAAAGTTAATGCCTTCCTGTCTTTGTTGAACTGAATGTCTGTGATCCCCAAAGTTCATAAACTGATATTCTAACTCATGATATGATACAGTTTATAGGTGGGACATTTGAGAAATAATCATATGATCTCATGAATGACATTCTCTATTCTACTCCCCCCCCCCTTGAGATGGGATCTCATATAGCCAAGTAACTGAGTATGATCTTGAACTTGTTCTTCCTGCCCTACCTCCTGATTGCAGGGATTACGGGTATACTGGTATTACGGGCATATACCACCATACCTGATTTATATGGTACTGGAAATAAAAACCATGACTTTGTCCATGCCAGGCAAGTATTCTACCAACTGAGCTTCAGCCTAGCCCTCCTATTGTCGTGATTATAATGGTACCTCTGAGAGCTCACTTGAGCCATCTGCTATGTGATGACATGACCAGAAGTCAACCATCCATGAACCAAAAAGCAAGGCCATACAAGAATGGCATCAACTGTCCCGCACTACCGTCTTGCCAGCAAGAACGATGCGGCACACTCAGGATCCTTCTGCAGTAAAGCTTTAATGCATCTTGAGAGGGAGAGCATAAGCTTACAGAACAGAGACCCCGAACTCCCAAAAACCCATCCCTTATATAGGCGGGCAGCCGCTGCCTAGGACGTGTCACCCCCTGACTGGCTGCAGCTCATCGGCCACATGATGCCACAGGAGAGGCAGAGACCAAGGGATGGAAAGTTACAAAGTTACCCAGCGCCTGCGCACTAACTTGTAACAGCTCCTTATATCCTGGGTAACTTTGTAATGGCTCCTTACAATCAACCAGAGCCTTATACTTCTCAGCTCCCAGATTTATAAGAAATAAGCATTTTTTTCTATATGAAGCAAAAGCCACTTCATGGCATTTTTTGTTGTAGCAGCCCTAAATTAGAAGATACTCTCTTAGACTATCTCTCTAAACTGAGAGCTGTTGATGGTGACACAGCCTCCACTTACCTCTTCAAAGGCAGGAAAATAACACTTCCTTGCTTTCTGTGTGATCTGGGCAAGGTTTGCATCCTTCTCCCCGAGTGGAAGGAATGGATAGCGAATAAGCATTTCATTCAAATCAACCGTACCTTCTGTATACATGTCAATCCTGAAAGATAAAATTCTTGCTCAAGTACTCCCTTTCCGTCTTACACTCATTTTTAAAAACATAAGAGATGGGCTGGAGAGATTGCTCAGTGGTTTAAAACCTAAGAGGATACAACTCAGATGATGGCCAAGGAAAACTACCTGTGGTGGGACCTGCAACTAGCACTTATAGGTTAACACTTGTTTCTTAGTTATATGGGGGAGACGACAATTGTGAAGTTTTGTTACCCGGGTAACTAAACACAGGCAGAGAGCATCAACAATGCACCCGAGTCAGTACCAAGAGAATGTGGCATCCACAGTCACGAATGCTGCAAAGAGGGTTTGCTGTTGGCAGTGGCGTGCTCTGTGCGACACAGACCATCAGAATCCCCGGCCCAGCTGTTGAGGCTCTGCTGCCCCTCCCTAACCCTACTGCATGGCTTAGGCTCCTGACAGACCTCATGTTAGAAGCTCTCTCAATTATTTACCATAAAACATGGATCCACTACACCCTCTGGTCCTGTCATTCAACTCCAGAGGTGCTTGCATTCTTGAGTTTCCACTTAAAATAGCACATTACTAAATGCTATTTTTTTATGGTCACAGGCGTGAAGCACAGGAAAGAAGCAATGAAATTTGAAACGAAGTTGCTAAACTACTTTTTAAAAATACTCGGTTTTTTGACATATGTTCGTAACCATAATTGTCACCCAAGCATCCTATTCAGTGCTTTTCTGTATGTTCACTGAAGTTGGTAAGGACAACACTCTCCAGTTTCATACTTTTTAACCACACTGGGTAATAAATAGTAAGACCTGTAGCTGAGACAGCCAAGGCCCAGCCCCTCCCTCCAACTCTTAGACAGCCTCTAATCTGCTTTCTGTCTCTATGGATTTGAGTCTTCTGGACATTTTAAACAAAAGAAAACATGTAATGTGTGACACATTATGTCTGATCTCTTATGTAACAGAATGTCGAGGTTTATCTGTGTCGCCCCATGAGTCTGTCCATCCCTCTGTGCAGATATAACTCATTGTGTGGCTGAATAACACTTTCCTCAGCCATTCATCTGTGGGACATTTTGCACTTTTTAAATATTAACAGTACAGCTGCGAACACTTTGAAATAAACATAACCACCAGGTGGTGGTGGCGCATGCCTTTAATCCCAGCACTTGAGAGGCAGAGTCAGGTAGATCTCTTTGAGTTCGAGGCCAGCCTGGCCTACAAAGCTACACAGAGA